TGTAATTTCCTTCCATCTCCTTTAAGACCATTCTTTTTACCCTTTCACATTTCTTAAAGTTAACATTTACCCTAAGCTCATTATAAGCAAATAGCATCATGTCTTTACATTTAATGAAAGGAATGGCATAAATTCTACTTTTGAAGTACTTAGCCACCATCTCATAAGTCATCATCTTGTTGTTAGGATTTCTAAAGCAAGTGTGTTTAGGGTAGTAAGTCTTTACCTTGAAACTGTTGTCCCTCTTCTCAAATGAAGCATAAATCTCCCAATTGCACAAACCAACCTTGCAAACAAAACTTTACCTTTCATGTTCATTCCTAATGTGTATAAGAGGACATCCTTTCCTCACATAATAATGTTTGACTGCTTCCTTGAATTGTTTGGGACTTCGAAACCTCATTACAACTTCAAAAATAGGGACCTCTCGAGCAGGATTGAAGTAGACATTTGTAGCTTTTCTTTGTCTATCTGCTACTTTAGGAGTAGAAAAAATATCATCTTCAGAATCTATTGATGAGTCCCTCAACTTGCTAGCATCATCACTTGAAGCATATTCACTATCTCTCTCATCATTATCACTGTATATGCCCTCATCATCATTATCAACTGGAACTGATTGGGATGGATGTACTGGATCTCCTTTTTTCACTTTTTTAAGGGTTAAGTCTTTCTCTTTATAAGACTCCCTACTTTGTGGCAATGTTTTATACCTCTTCTCTACAAGCTTTGCCTTTTCCTTTCTCCTTCTAGACTTCTCAATAGGATCTGTGGAACCCTTTTGCCTTGTAGAGGTTAAGGTTGGATCTATTGCTTTCTTTGTGGAAGTAGATCTAAGAGTATATCTAAGAGTAGGTTTCTTTGCAACAGTTTTGTTCCTAACCCCAGTTTTTGGTGTTGGAAAACTTGGAGGAACTTCTAATCCTTTTGTTGGTCTCCTTAGAGACCTTGTAGCACCCTTCACACCAATGGCTTCATCATCATCTTTGTCACTACCATCAATAGGATTTGGTTCTTCATCTGTTGAGCTCTAGTCATCAACATAACACTCTTCTTCATAGTCACCTCTATTACTGCATTCGCCTCTTTCATATGAATTTCCAAATTTACCCTTTTGACCACCAATGGCCCTATCTTGGGTTATGTTCCCTATGTCACCTTCCTCTTCTCTCTCATTAACTTCATTGTTACCATTCTAGCCTACCCTATCTTATGGTCCCCAATCCTCATAAACTACATTATTATCAATCCAACCTATTGCTAGAGGAGCAATTTTAGCAAAATTAATCTCATGGTGCACATAAAACTCACATATCACCTCTTTTTTGACAATCCTCATAATATCCCTAATACTATCATCACCTACCAAAGACTTTAAATGCCTAGGCATGCTTGCTAACATTCTTTTGTAGTAAACATTTTTAATCATAGCATCCTCATACCTTAAACCTATAATGAAATCCATATTGACATCAACATTTACCTATCACAATCAAATGCTTGTTTTGTACATATTCCCCCATTGTACTCAAATGGAGGTCTAGCCATGAATGTCCCCCATGGAAAATAGACAAAATCCCCTAATAATCATCTGTCATTTTGGTCAATGGTAACACAAACTAAAATTAATGTAGTCCATTAATGATAAAATATATTATATAATCGACAAAATGCACATGCATCCAACACTTATAGTCAACGGTAAACTAGAAAACTTTATAAACAAACATTTTCCAAGAGAAAGCAACTGCAAAGGCTTACCTTTACTATGTCCTTCACCTTGAACCCCACCACCAACTACAACATCGAGTGTGCGAGGGCCCCTAAAAGCTTCAATATTTTCTTGAGATTCGCTAGACAGAGTGGAGCCAACTCTTATCCCGTACTCAAAAGTGAATTCGATTCAAAGATTTATTTGAGAAATGGGTCTTCAATTTTTCATTGCAAATCTAAGCGAAGACTTAGGTTTTCCTTTTTAGGGCTAAATGGGGTCTATGATAAGGAAGGGGAAATAAAGGGTGACACGGTGTTAAAAAAAAGCAGGATTGATACACATCAACCTCGAATGTGTAAAAAAATGACACACTAGAACAAGCTAAATGGAGATCATGATGGTAATGACGTCAGCCATTAAATAATGGGTGATTTGGGTCAGTCGATAATTTTGGGATGTCAAATGTCCCTTCACTTTTGTGGGGAGGTGGATCTGTTCTTACCCACCTTTTTTTAAGGGTCGATTTGAGGGTTCTGTCGAATCATTTTACTTAAAAAAAGGGGAAAAGGGCATATCAATCCCTATACCCTTTTTTATTTTGAGTAGCCTGTACTCTTTGTTTGGTAGCATATCAATCCCTCAATTAAAAAAGGTGGTTTTCTAACCCTCGAACTGCACGAATGCTGGCAAATCAGCGCTTTTCCAACAAGTACTTTGTTTTTTCATTCATGTTTGCTATGATGGAGGATTTTGGATCCACTTTGATGATGTGGCCAATTAAAAATCAAATTTATTAAGAAAATTGTTT